GTCCGTTGACTGTGTTCGGTAGGAATAAATCTAGAGCGCAATTTATTGTTTAACTCACCGTTTCTTTAGCAAGACAATACCTTTTTTTGGTCTTCCTCGCGTCATGTAATTGGTTAGGTTGGTATCTCGGGGAATGCAATAGTTATAATGTCGATAACCATAATAGCAGTGACAATAACAATGATGATAACAATGATAATAATGAATAATCAAAGTCAATCTGTCTTGTGCAATCTCTTATCTGAAACCTTGGAATATTAAATTTAATGTTGGCCACAGTAAATATGTAAAGCTTAAACCATTTGTTCTGTCATACATAGATGCACCAATTACGATTTGTGGTTTTGTTTACTTGATATGCGTTTTTAAAAATTACTCTTTGTATTCCTACAATTGTTAAAATCTTATAGAACAACGCTTTATTGATGGCACTATTTAACTAAATAAGTAACCGTGCAGCATCAGATAATTAAGGTGATACATTTTCATGTGTTTGATTATCAAAGTCGGAAGATTGAGTCCCAGCAGGAGAGGACGGACATAATAACATGGGTTATTAGATCTAACTTATCACAATTAATCAAAACTTACTCTCATTATAAACTGAAATATAATTTGTACTTGACAAGTGCGTGTTACTGTATTAGCATTCTTTTCAAACTGTCACGGGATGACTGTTGTGTGCTGTAGGTTGCACTTTCTTGACAAAATGAATTCTAATAATTCATCAAGTAAAATTGGTCATTTGGCTGAACCATTTAGATTTCAAACAAAGACGTGTTTATTCTCAACCGTCCGTTATATTGATGAGAGAATGTTAATTTACTGTAGAAACTATGGTGTAGTTTTGCAATCATAGCGAGAGAGTAATATTAATAGTTAGTTGCATTAACATGGCAATGTACAGTATATACTATAATTATAATAAGTTTGCATCCTTATACAGCATATTTTCTTTAATTTATAAAAGCACACCTAATACCAAAGACAGTTCTTTGAATAAAAATATTGATAATGTAATGCACATGTTTATTGCATTTGTTTGAATTATTACGCAGTTAATATTACCGTATTAATATTAATATACAAATTATTTAAATCAACTACTTTTCCTCCCCAAATGATCGCGTGACCTTAGATAGGCGTATATTTTGTTGGTAAATTAATATAATTAGCAAAAAAACACAACTTTTTCTTGCTAATTCTATTCTTCATTACCACCTTCGCACATCTAAACGCCCTGTACTAAGAATAAATTCCCGGAATAACAAACACTTTCGTTTATTAATATTGATATGTTTAAATTTAAACCTTAAGTACAGCGCAGTGTACCTATTTCCTTGACAAACCAACGTTGCATAACAACATAACTATCACGAGTTTATGACGTGAAATTATTCCATTAACAATTTGTACAATTTTTCATACTTTAGAAAGAGGAAATGTACAAGATAAACAACAGACTCGTTCAATTACTATTTCCACGCTTTTAAGCGCCGCCAGTTCGGCCTCTGTATTTATCCGTCTTCTCGCCAATTAAACATTCTACGGCTTCTTGATAGTCCTTTGTCCCCTTCAATTAATTTGTTAACCAAAGTATCTGTTTTACGTCACATCCCCACAAAATATTACGCGAAATAAAAATTGTGTACGGAATGTCATATGACTTGTAAAGCTGATAACTACGGCCAGAACGACAATATCCACCGTGAAATTTGTAACCAAAAAAGAAAGACTTGGCAGGCCAATCGTTCTGATAACATGAAGATTATTCATCAAAGTTGATAGTCTCATTGACTGTAAAGTCAACTTGTTAAAAAGATCCAGAGATTCCTAACATAGGGATAGCGTAAAAAATTCAGTCATTAGGTAGAACGCGAGTACTCATTAGATTATTTTTACTTGAAACTTACTTGATTGCAACTGAGTATACTAAGGATGTAAACTATAAATTTCTCCTGTCCATACGTGTCGATCAACGATTGTATCGATGTCTTATTATTGAATTTATTGAATCCATTGAATAATCGTAATACGGAAGGGGTTCGATGACATCTGGAAAAGTGATCGAGTCGATGGACTGAATTGTGAGGTAGGATTCATTCAATAATTGGCAGGATTCGACATTATTGATAGGTTGCCGTCAATGTCAGTAGTTGGCGATAGACTCAATTGTGAGGTAGAAGTATTCATCGATGAAAATGTACAGCAAGTCGTTTCTCGCATTTTTGAAATGTCGACGATGTCATACAGTATCATACTAACACGTCAATCTCAAGGACTTGTTCCAGCAAAACGAGAAACCTAGCAAGTATGCATGCGAAATAAATGTATCAGCTGATGAATTGGGATTTCCACAAGATCTTTTGTCGTTGTATCTATTGGGCTATACCAATGATTGGCAGGATTCAATGTCAATGACAGCATTGCGCATTTCTGGTGTGAGTGTTATATACGATTTATAGATAGCAGAGGCGACTGAGATAATGTTGGCGAGCCATTTTCGAGATTATCTTGTGTCAGTCATCACTAAGAAGGATAAGAAGGTTGCGAGTGAGGACTAGAGAAGTCTTGTGGTATCTATGATGAGTCGTAAGCGCTGGTATCAGAATCAGAATCGGCGTTGGGGATTTTCTAGATGCGTTTTCAGACGCTTGTTATTATCGGCATCATTGGGGGTGTAGTGAATGATGGAATATTGTCTGGGAATATTGTCTGGTTATATCTTTTAAGAAACGCTCGGCTCTTGTTGCTGGGCCATGCTAACATACGTTGGCAAGTTATCATCCGCGCGATGTTGAGAGAAGAGTATACTGTTGTTGTGGTGGTGGCTGTGGTGATGGTGGTTGGTGAATGAGGTGTATAGGTATTTATGTGCATGCTTGCAATCAATCCAACAAAGAGAGCATTTTCATGAGAGTAAATGTAAGCCAATTAAATATCGTGTCCATACTAATACGTACATTTTGTTTATTAAGTTATGAAAACCAAAAAATATATAAAATGTTCACTTTGATTGTCTATATTTATATTACTAAATCCCACTAAACCGCGTTTCTGACAAACTATTATTATAATCATCTAATATAATTGTACCGTCCGTAGTCATATAACCATAATTATTTATATCAGCATAGTTATTCATAAGAGTCGTATCGAACATATTCATATAAGCATAGTTGTCCAACGAACCAATTTCTGTCGTATTCATATAAGCATAATCTGTCGTATTCGTATAAGCATAATTGTTCAATGAACCAATTTCTGTCGTATTCACATCTGTTGTGCTGGATATGATTTCGTGCACGTTTTCATTACACGAAATGTCATCATTTCCAAAGTTGACTGTCTGTGCGGGGTACGTAAATAGTGGATTATACCCTGTATGCACGCTTAATGTCGAGTCTAACGGAGGGGCATTGTCGTATGCTGTACATTCGTACAAAGGCATGTGATCCTGGGTAGGAATGTCGGTGTTAATATGACTAGCTGCGCCTGTGGATGAATCGGTAACTTCGTTATTAACTCCATCGCTGCCACATGCATCTAGATGATCGCGATCACCAGCAACCTCCCCGAAAGTGGTTGAACGAGAATCCTCATTCGTAGTCTCGACATTAGTCGAAGCGGAACTAATAATTGCATGTCTATTATACATGCGTTTTCGAGAATTACCTCTCCCTTTATTCTTTTTTGCCGAACTTTTACAAGGACAATCTTGATGAAAAGATTTTATAATTCTACTCAGATCCGAAAATATCTCCTTCACTTTAGGGGTTTCGTTCTTCCACCGTATGCTCGCAATGTTTGAGGTCAACACGATCAAGGATTTCGTTGACTCCATTGCGTTTATTTTCTCGGAGACAAGCCTTGCTTGTATCTCCTTTCTATACAAAATAAATGCGTTCGGGGGTTGACGAACGCATTTCTTTTTGCTCCCGCGTAAAAGGTCCTCTAACGGGAGGACAGGTTTAAGACCAGCATACCTTTTTTTTATATCAGTGGTGTCTTTGTCTATAAAAGAACGCAATAACTCAATATCTATACACATTTTATATTAAATCGAGTGGTGGATTAGATGTTTGGCCACAAGAAGGGCATGCCACTTATTTATAGTTTTTTGAACGCCAAGTCTTCACATGAGTTTCACTGTGTGTAGTGGAGCTCCTCGTTTCATGATTTATCAATTCGATATTGTGATTCGGGCAAAGAGCAATGGTAACGTGGAAATTTCCGAGTTAAAATCACATTACGGAGCATTCTGATCACTAAAAGCATCCATTCGGACATTAAGGACTAGCTGCACATATGTAGTAATATTAGTATATAATGCCATCATCCTGTTTCAGTGTATGTTTTTTATATTTAGATACTCACGAGGAGTCTTGCTATTATACTTTGCATGCTAAATATATCGTCCGAATGAAAGGAAGAAACAAGGGCCATTATTCGCTGATTTTGTCAATAGACAAAAATCCATTCGGCTGTCTGTGGCTCAGATCCGTTCCACAGATCCGATAATAAGCTTAGAAGACGTTAATGTTTGATGAAACAGATCTGATGATGCTGTGCCCCGTTCTAGGATTTGACCCGTTTCGGGATTGTCACATTAGAATAATCTCTTGCACCAATAAACTACATGATTTATGTGATAACGTCGAAAAAATATGTGACAATCTTGAAATGGGTTGACCTGTTCTCAGAACGGGGTCAAACCCAAGAATGGGTCAGTGACACACAATACTATTTCTGTTAAAACAATAAGAGAATGTATAGTAATGGTTTATTATTATTTAGTGCTGAGTTTTAATGTCAAAGTATAGTCGCACCTGTCTATTTGCATAATTGTTGTATGGGATTTGGCCCGTCACTATTTGCTTCACATAAAATATCCAAAATGTAATTTATATTATATTTAGGGATTATTGTAGTGTACAATCCCGAAACGGACCGGCCGGAACATTAATGTATTAATCACGTGATATAGACGTTATGTTGAAGTTGTCTGTTAAAGAAGGATTAGAAGCTCTACAAATATCTATGCCATTTTGTTGCAACAACTAGAGAAGTTAAAAAGTGATCTTCGTATGCATGTGCATGTTTACTAAATGAACAACAGATTATGCATGCAAATAGACTTTTATCGTCGATTGGCATCTTTGATAGTATGTGACCGACTTTCGCAAAAGTTTTCGACACATACTCGCTCTCATTAATTTGAGGCGTTTATAGATTTATTGTCTGAACTTTCATTAGTTAACCGTTTAACTGAAAGAGGAATAATCGATGACGAAAAAGAGATGTATGATGAACAGAAAAATTTTAGCTCGCAAAGATAGTAAAAGTTTGGTTTCGCTTGTTTTTAGGCTTTTCTCGTTGGGTTAATTCTTGTTCCGTTTCAATTAATTTGCTCTTTCTTCAGTCAAGAATTGAGATAATCTTTCTCAGTCGCTTACTATTTTCGGTCGGCAAAATTTTGAGATGGGCAAAATTCCAGTCAACTGACTCGCTCTATGCTCGGACTGAATAAACAAAAATAATTGCTTCGGTGAACAAGAAAATGACGAAGGCAAAGAAGACGATGATGAACATCTATCAACAAGAACATAAAATTGTTGTTATTCCAGGCATTAGGTAAAAGGAGAACTTTGGTAGATTAAGGTGTTATGCTGGACGAACAAATAGGAACACATAGAATTCGGAACATGATTGAGGATGAAATCCGTCACGTTTTACTCCCTCCTACTGGAAGATGGTGAAAGAGGTCCGTCATGTTAACACCTTCGATGTAATAAATAGGAGAAGGTGAGTTTTGAAGGTGGTTGATCTTGGTTGTTGGTGACATCCACTAACAACATAATCTGGTACTGTATTTCATAATATTAGAAACAGAGGACCGAGATCTTAAGTGTGCTTATGAATAGTCCAGCAGCATATTAATATCAATCAGACCACAACGAAGCTACTGCTAACGGCGACAGTCTACTGCCACAGACGACGACACGCAAACAACAAAGAGAACGTTACCAGTCCCTCAAACTCTTCCACGTCCACCAATGTCCCATTGGATCCGATCTCCCGGCAAACCGACAAGTGAGAAAAAAAGGGGAGAAGAAAGAAAAGAAAATAGAGATTTTAACAGTTTATACCATCCATAATTCAGGATATGATACCTGTTTTATAGCAATACTTCATGATGATACAGTACTTATTGCTGCTACCACAAATCTAAGCAGCCACATTCCCGGAGCGCTTCATCTATTCATAGTAATGCTGCGCGTGGACTTTTTTGAAGAAAGATTTCTGGACGATTCGCTACTATTACGAAACCTGTCTGTCAAAATTCTATAATTTACGTAACTGCGAGAACAAGGCGATCGGAGATGAAAAATAATACTCAATAGTAATTTCTTTTATGTCTCTCGAGCTTTCTCTACCAATGGCTCCTACAATTTCCGACTCTTTAACGGCGAACAGCGATGCATAACACTCGTATCAGAGATTGACTATCCCGAACACTGAAGTTTGAATATCACATAACTACACGGGAGACTGACCTAAAAGTCTGTATTGATAAGGTGGAAGGAGATTCGCTGGCATAGACATTCTGCTGGTGCACATTATATTAATGTACACCAGATACGTAATTACACGAACACATGAGGCTATGCCAACCAACCCTGCATAAACAAGTTTCACACCCCTAACGAGTTAGGATTAGAGGGAATGGGATTGGAAGAAAAGAATTGAGCTCTGTCGGCACAATCATGTGTAGCTTGGCAATAGAAGTCGAGTGAACGGGCACTATCCAGCTTTAGCAGGGATTGGAATAGCAGAGACGAAGTCAGCATCTGTATAGAATATCACCTTTTAGCCTTATAGGGTTGAAGGTCCTTCTTAAAAGGATATAGGGAAAAGGTTCATTGAATTTCCGTTTTGACTGGAGATGTAGAATGTTAGGTGATGCTGGAAATGAAATAGCTAGTCATCTTATATCTAATTTTTAATAACGCAATAACGGCTGTGCGCTAAAGACAAAGATCATGTTAGCGTTTGTAGTCGTCAGAAAGACTTATGCTTTTATTTACGAGTGCGATGTGTCATGCTAAATCGAAAGTTTATTTAACTAGGTGCTTGTATTAATAGTTGTCGATCTGACATTTCATACTAATCGATAGAAAATATGGTAGATAAAGACAGCCATATAGTGCTTCAGAATTTACGTGCCGTTTTTAAAAGATTTCAACACCGATAAGGATATTTCCTCGACGATTTAATACGATTATTACAAGCACGTCGAAAACGATGTTTGGTAGTTTTGTTAGTAAGGTGATATCGTTACAGCGAAACAAGTCTGAGAATGTTAACGCTTTAATATAATCTAGTAGGAGTATTTGAGAGCAGCGATGTTAGCTTTACTACTTTCTTGGTGACATCCACTACATACCAATATCATTAGATGCTGACTAAACCTTTCCGTTTTGTACCATGTAGAAATCAGAGAAAATAAGTAGTGAGATTGAAGATGAATAATTTATATCTATTTGCTCCTCCAATAATCTTTTTCTTGCGTTCCCTCTTGATACGGTACTGTTCGCTCTTTTGAATGTGAGATTTTCCTCTTTTCGTTTTTGTGCGCCGAGCATAATTTGTTTCTTCTGCTGCATAGACTTGATCTCTTTGGGTATATGACGGTGTCTTCATATTGAGCGGAATATCCTTGATCGGCGGCTTTTCGTATGCTGTAACCGCTTTTACAGACAACCTCTTCATAGCGTATCTTGTGGGACCGCCGGCAGATTTTGAAGCATTCGATCGCTTTGGCTTCCTCGTCTATGCTTTTTCCTAAAATAACTTAAACCAAAACAATATTGGGCCTTTGGATGACCCTTACGGCTGTCTCGCTTCCTTCGTCACTTGAGTCTGAGTTACAAACCTATATTAGCAATGGTCTGTATGATGTACGTGCGTAGCACAGTTCATATATTCTTTATAAAAATACCTTGCAATACGTCTGATCTCGGCAAATCTTTATTTATATCGCGCTTTGAGTTGTTCAGAATATTCCAGATAAGCCCGCTCTCGATAACTTTTCTGTTTTCATACAACATAATAAACGTCTAATTCAATCAACGTTTACATCAATTTCTTTGAGTACTCACCGCCCCTAGTTTCTTAGAGGCTTTCCATAACCTGACATTGCCGTCATCTGAGACTGATAATAAAAATTTAGAATCGACGCTATATTTGACACAGAATATTCTCCGCATTCTCTTGGTATGGTAGACGTCTCGACTATGTCCTTCACGTGATCCGAATATCGATCACATGCACCTGTTACTAGTTATTTCTTCACCAGTTGGCGAATAATCAACGTCGAGACTATGTTTACATAAGCGAGATTAGGATTGGAAATAACTGAAACATCCAAAATACGAACGAGACGATCGAAATGACGTACACAGTTGACACGTAATCTTCAATACTACGTTCATTTTGCGCATGTCGAATGTGTATCTTCATTAGCCTGTTAAATGTCGCATCTTCAGACCAATTGACTTCATGAATTTTCCATACGCATAACAAAGATAAGGTAACATACCGTGGTAAAGTTGAATGCTTCCATCGGATTCCATGAAATGGAATTCGTCTTCGTCTATGAATTTATAGCTACGTTAGACGAAAAATCGATTACAAAAGATGCGAATATACAGACATATGACTTACTTTTAGCCCAGTTCGCAGGTCATATGATGAAATCGTATGTTTATTGTATCTGCACCCCATGAGAACGTGTTTATAGGCTGAGATCTAGGCAGAATGAATAAGAGAAGAGGGCGAAGATCGTACAGTGCAATCGGTCAGTCTTATATAACTAGTGATTAATACCCTGAATAGAATACTTTACCTGCTCTCGTCCGTATATTCTATTTCATACCGTGAACGTAAGCGGAGATTTTCGTTAGCTTGAATGTACTGGTCGTGCGGGCAGGAGCGGGTGGTATTATTGGGAGAAGATTGGGCGGAATGTTAGGGGTAACGTTGATTTTTTCATCATACATATTTGTATGAAAATCTAGTATTTTCTCTGCAGTGTCTTCTTCTGTTGTATTCAACGAGGTCGCATTATATTCAAAGCCGGAAAAGGTGAAGGATTTATATGAATAACAACATAATCTCAACTCGCCAACTGGGGGGACGGTTTCATAATGCCGAAATAGACGATGAACCTTGTCTGTGAAAGCAGAGACAGACGTTTTATGCCGGGAATAGAGAATGGGAAATCAAGGAGTTCGTGGCTTGTATTTTCGGAATCTGTTGTTGGATGCTCGTCACCATCGGCCATCTCGTCTTCAATCTCAACTTCCATTTCGTTCTCAATCATGTCTTCATGGTCCATGGTTCTTCTTTTTCTCTTAGTAGAAATAAAGAAAAAGCGATACATATTGGAATGTCCAAAGAAATGACCCAATATTATATCGTGGTATTTGTACGCTATTTTACATATTGCTTATAACAAATGCAGGGAATGATGGGAGTCATTTTGGAGCAGTCGGGTTTGCCATGTTTTTTGGGGCAAAGGTTCGAATGAATTTATCTGTTACTAGACGATTAAGATCTTTTCTTTACGAGGAACCGAGTCGTCGTTATCACGTCTGTGACCGATGAAGTTGGATGAATAAATTCGTGAATACCCTATCTTGTGTATTGGAAGCTTAAATAGTTGCAATATTATATGCACTCGGCACATATGTTTTCTCGCTTCACTGCCTTTATCTTACCTTTGCGTTATCCCCTGTTCATATAATGAAATCTAGCCCGTCCCTCCAGTTTTCCTTCAACCAATCGAACGTGCTCCCATGGACCAACTGCTCCTCTCTTCATGAGTTTTTGGCTTTTTCGCAGTTTGCAAGGCTATTCGATGACATGATGAACCGGCAGTTGCATTTGTTCTGTAGTATGGATCAGGATGTATATAGACAGTATCGGCTACAGGGGCAACAGAGTATGTTGTCATTAGGGTACCGGGAATGAACATTTTCTCGAATATTTATAATTTGTTACGCGCTAGTCAATATATCAGCAGCCAAATTATATAAATCACGTCACTAATATGTAAAAAGGGCCCCCAAACGGGATTTACATAATGACAATTACACGGCAGATGAGCCGTGAATTTGTCACTAGTACTAGGGTACGTACCGGGTATTTTGACAATTGCACGGCAGATGAACTGTCCACATGTATACTTATCTTTACCATCAACAAAATCTGCTGCGTTTAATGCCTTGAAGCAGTACTTCCAGAGTCTCCCCCTTTGATCCAACCTCCAAAGTTTATAAGCGTAACGCCCTCCAAATAATTTCCACAAGGTTTTCAAGACGTGCAGATGGTATCCACTAGAGGATAGGGTAGCAATATGCAAATTTATCCTAGACTTCCTAAATTCTGCATCAGCCTTCGGCTATAATAATCAAAGTATCAGAATAACGTTACCTGCCGAAGAAAATGAATGACAAAGTATTAGAAGACGTTGACAGTTTTCCGATACGACATTGATGATACGTTCATTCTCGTAAGCCACGTACGAACGTTTGCGTACGGGACGAGCCTAATTTTTCTGAAGAAAAGTAATGTAAATACCAATGTGTACGTTCAGGTAAAACTCGTAGAAGTAAAATATAATTACCGCGTTAAAACGAGGCACCTATTTATTTTGGTAACTGGCCCCCTCCCCATGTCAGGGCAAGCATAATTACATAAATGGCCTACGAAAAGACATAAGAAAGTAACAAAATGGTTAGCAAAAAACGGTGAAGATGTATTTAATTACTTATGTTGCGCTCCGGTCATTTGAAGAGAAGCGGATGATATAAAATTTTCATTGCTGCATAAACATTTGCCGCGACCACCATCACTACTCTAATTAATAATTACTACCACTTATCGTAGTTACCACTATGAAAAAGCGGCGGATATCGATGGCGTCACGATCATCGCTGGCTAGATGTCGCGGTAATAAAATTTTTTGTAATATTAATATTATTATAAAGGGAATGAGACATAGATGCTTACTAAAGAAAAATCGTGGCGTGCCTTGGTTATATTCATGAAATATCGAAATCTATTGTTCGTGTTGTGGGTTCAGAACCAGCCACAGTCCAGAACTCAGTTGTCTCACTGACCTCGGTCCAGGGTCCCAATATTTCATCATACACAACCCTTTTCTGAAAACATGAATGCAGTCGGATGGTGTACAAATGTTGTGAACCCTTCGCCAGATCTTTCCAATCAAAGAAATCTGTATAAGCTTCATGTATAATGTGTTAAGCCCCCATCGAACATACAAATACCTCTCTTGTTGCTGTTTTTTTCTCCTTTTTCTTTGTTTTATTTTCCATTTTGAAGTGAGCTTTAGGTTTATCATGGATACTCTTGCAAATAAATAGATTTGTTTACGAACTTGGAGCAGAGAATTCTTAATATCTGACATTGTGACATTAGTATTTCCAAAGCCCCTGATATTGGGGCACTTGCACATGAATGTTGTTCGGGCGCTGCATCTTGCATCTTGGTGATTGTTAGTCATTTATATTCAATAATGTAATGGATTAGTTCATTACTCATAAACAATATGTTATTCGAAATACATACAGTCTCCTGATACTCTTAAAGTTCAACATGCATGACAATCGTTGTCCATGTAACCTATTCTATCGGAGGACAGGCAATTCTGCTCCGGTGGGTGGACAGCTTATCCTTATCACGAACCTAAATTTTGAAAACCGTCTTCCAACTTGCTTTGTAATAACAGTAGTTGGGAGTCATAAGATGTGAGAGAAAAACCAAAAAATAACATAACGCAAAGAAATAAGTTGGTTAGAATAATATTAAGCATCAGTTCGAAGACAGTGTTACGAATTACGCATAGATGTGATGTTTTGTAATTTTGATGTGATTAAAACGATATGCATGCATATACCCGATATTACAAGGATGATTGCTTTGTCTATGAAAAATGCCGTGGGCTCTTACGTTAACAATACTCAAACACAAAGACTTTGTCCTACTTTTAGTACGCACTTAGTCTTAATATACTCACAATGTTCTCCGATCATTTTTTTTACTATTAGTCAATGAGTGATTGGTTAGTTAAGCTTTTATCACAATGTTTTTCCACAGCATCTAAACACTCGTTCATAGGTTAACACAGCCACTTTGCCGTTCTGAAGGTTGTTTGTTTATGGTTGTGTGAGTCACAAATCCTAAAAATAGGTAGATTATCAATGTTAATGTAATTGTGCATGCTCATTTCAGAGGGGTACAAAAAAAAAGCCAAACATCTTATACATGATTGCCTGAGAAGACAGACAAATAATGCAGTAGTTTTATTTATTGTTCGGATTACTGTCATCATAATTATATGGGCTGTTGGATTGGATATATCATAACACGTCTTATTTGCCTATTCAAAGAGAAGCATGAGTAATGAGGTTTCTCTACAGTCAAAAGTCACCTATGATAGCATTTTGCTCATTTAGTCATCAATACCAAGATATAATGAAAGAACATGTTTACTTTTGCTAGTGTAGGTTTGAGTTAGCGGACTTCACTTGATTACATGGTCAAAGTATTGTTGTGCATATTGAATAGGTCTTTTGAAATACTCTCAACAACTTGAATGGTATTAGCAAAAAGAACTGCACATACGATGGCTTGTTATCACAATTATAAATTTAGTTTTATTTATTGATAGTCATCGACTCGGGATGTTGCGAGCTTAATTTTGTCTTTGTCTTTTGCAGACTAATACCTGTCTTTATCTTATTGGTAATTGACACAGATCTTAGATTTTACATCTTGCTATTCAATAAGTATGAACTGAGGATAATCTAACAAGTGATTGAGTAGCTATCACGGAACATTGCCACTTTAATTTAGATGATATGCGAGAATACAACTTTATTATACATATAACAATTGACCATAGTATAATTACTAATAAAGTACAGTTATAAAAATTAATTAATCCGCAGAATACTCTTTCAACTTGTCCACATAAACGCTCAAAACGCCTATCATTACACACACGCATATAAAAGGTACCAGTATACTCAGCCCATTTGAAGAATAATGTTCAAAAAATAGATTGATAAGCAGTAACTTCGGTTATACCCGTTTATGTCCCTGGTCGATTCTAACCAAAACAATATTAATTATCATCAAACAAAGGGATTCAGAACTATCGTACAACACGCAGCAGATATATACCTGTTTGACACCAATAATAGCTCTAAGCTTCTCAGATTAGAAGAATACAAAAAAAATTTTTTTGTATACAAGTCCAAATATAATATTTCCTCAATGACCAGTGCATTCACTGTAAGACTGTCTTATGATTTCGGAAGGCTTTTTCCATATGTTCTTTCTAAACAGGTTCAAAATTCTTTGTCTTTCTGCTATTGTTTCTTGGCAGTAGTAGCACCAACTGATTATTCATGGGGAAGATGAACAATAAGACAACGACATTGGTGCATATACTATTGTTAATGGTGATCACATATGATATAGTTGTACATGATATTAAAAGCTGAAGTGTTACAGAAAGAACATTATAGAACAGATACCTTACAAAATGTTTCCATAAACAGGAAAATAAACGAGCAATGCAATACGCGTATATCTGGCAAATACCTGTTTGTATGCTACTTCATTTAAACAAAGATATTCTAAAGCCAAGATTACACAAAGCTATTATTGGGAGATTAAGCAAAATGACTGGTGCTTTAGTTGGTTTGTGATCCTTGTCGTTTATGATTGTCTATTTTTTTTTTCTCCCCATAAACAATGTGTTTCAACCTTTGTGTACCAGTATGCGTTGTTAATGATATATTGTAAAATTATACAACACAAGAAATACTACTTGCAAAAAACTGTAACTTACAGTCAAATCTAAATCCTATGGTATCTTTAATGATAGTTCACTAATGCTGTCTCTCAATTATAAATTTTCACAGTTTCAACATGCGTTAACATAGACAACGATCATATATGCAAATATAACATGCAAAATACCGTTGTTTCATTGCGCCTATTTGTGTGGAAATAATGCTTGCTAATGAGTTTCCAAAATAGGCGCATGCGTTTGTATCAACAAAATCAATAATAAATCACGGGACTGAGTTTTTACTTATATATAAACACTGCATCTTTCTCTACGAATGTCATCAGCAACATGCAAATGCAAATGCTAAAGACTACTCTAACTCTAACAATGTATAACCCAACCGTAACCTCTTACCATTATATCTTAAAATCTAATCATGGATACCACCATCTTTCAACGGCTGCATTCGAAGCCACGCTCGGTCGGTTCGACAACGATGATGCCGACACGATAACGAACACGAACGCCTGCTCTGTCATCGACACTGGCATAGACAACGATGAAGTAGGCCAGTCACGACCACGACGAAATGACGGCGATGGCGCGATCAGCTTGAAAACTCGCCATTGCCGTTATCTTTACCGGTCGAAGAATTGATCGACCCGTCCAACAACCAACCCCGTCCAACACGGCCAAACGGAAGCGTATGTTTCACATTTATAAAAGAAACTACGCAATGAGCTTGCTGAAAAAAAGCAAGCCATTTTCCAAGAAGTTCACTGAAGAGGCCAAGGACAAGTCGATGACCGAAAGCAAAGCGGTCATGGGCTATTGTGTCTTGTTGGCACAGATAATGGATGGGTTGGTGTCCGAAAGCAAGCCTGCTTTGCCATTGATGACGAACACAAACGCCCGACAGACAACCACAACGGGACACATACGCACTCATAATTTAGCATATTCGTTTTAAAAGATGTACTTGTAAATTAGCTTATTAAAAGATGTACTTGTAAATTATCTTATTAATAAAAAATTAAATACACTTGCCTATCAAAATTATTGCCTGATCCGCAGAATTTACTATTAAAACATGAAATTCGATACTTTTTTCACCCACTTTTTTGTAGACGGCTGTCAATAAATAATTTACATCATCCGGAAGCCAATTTAAAAAAGACATGAAAATTTTAAGCTACGAAGTTACAATGTAATGTTCTTCACCCATCAATAATTTCGTGATTGCCGATCATTGATAACATTATAATCACAGCATTAAACCTTCGCGTTCGTTGTTTGCATGCTTTGCTTTATTGCTTCCAATATGCCCAAGACAAAAGTGATGTGTTGGCTAACTCGGTAGATTCGATGAAGAGAATAAAAGAGGTAATAAGAGGTAGGGGGATCCCGCCTGCTACTAACATACTGTGATTATAATGTTATCAATGATCGGCAATCGAGAAAGTATTGATAAGTGAAGAACATTACATTGTAACTTCATAGCTAAAATATAAATAAAATTTTCATGTCTTTTTTAATAAACTACAATAAATTGGCTTCCGGATAATGTAAATTTTATTGACAGCCGTCTACAAAAAGTGGGTGAAAAAAGACTTTGAAAAGTATCGAATTTCATATTTTTAATAATTTCGATAGTTTCTACCTCGAGAAGCCAGTGTTCAAACGTTGTAGCAATATCCGATTAATTATTACCTTGTTATCTTTAGTCTTAACGACATAACCGTTTATCCGACATCTTAACATTCCTTACTCTAAAATCATATTCTACATTCTGACTCGATGTTTGACTTCTCAAAAACGGAATAAATTTCCTTTTTCCTGATCTATGTTTTTGATAATGCGGTACAAAACAAATTGATCTTGTAAATAAATGGGAGTATGCCTTGAATGACAGATTTCATCTGGTGACGCATTGTTAACATCTGAAAGTTGAGAATATAGTTGTACTAGAGCTGAAAACGTTGGATCTATCCGAAGCTTTTTGCGTCCGGGCTATTTAATAAAATTTGGCTTTTTTTTTCCTTTCAAAATTCAAGATTTAATTAAATGCTGGTCGCCATGAAAAAAAAATTCAATAAAATATCTAGCAACAAACATTGGTTCTGGAAGACTATATTCTTTGCTCATCCACAACATAGCATTTTATAGTATGCGCTTTTTGATTTATTGTATAATTGTAATGACTCGTTTTCAAGAGAGACAACAGTAGGTCAGCTAATAGAACCTGATTACGTAATTTTTAATGCTTTATGCGTTATGTTGATAGTCGATTGCGATGAATGTGCTTATCAGTTAACGAGCGTTTATTAATACCACTTGATTATTAATAATGATATAGACAACGAAGAATTACTGTATATGCTATTAGTATGTTAATAAAAATATTATTACTATATTAAGAATTTACATGCACGGTTCCGCGAATAGTCGTGATCGATAAAGGTAAACAATTGTGTTCAACACATGTAAAGCAATTCATCGCGCGACTTTATTTACTATATCGTATAGTTTCGTATATTTTAATAAGAAGGATCTTATCAATGGACTATCATATTAACTCCTGTGATTCACCATCGCCGTCATTATTCTTGTCACTAAACATGGCAAGGATAAATGACCGGCATTTCTCAAATTACTTTAATTACCGATCATTTGACTAATAACAAAATACGATATGGTCCGACGCAAAAAAATTGACACACCAATATGCTTATAATAGAAAATATTATTTTTTGAAATTCATTCACATGCTTAAATAAATTTGACTTACAAATTGAATGTATCAGTAGAAATTTATTAAAACATGTGCGCAGACAAAAAAGTTTACTAGTCATCAATTTCTTCAACTTCGAGATCTTCACTTTCGACCAATAATATATCATCGCTTAATTTTCCTTGGACGCCCTTGCATTCTTCATTCACTCTGAATGCTCTGAGAATTTTTATTTTTACGCTATTATATTCAGCAACCACTCGCGCAATGGTTGCCTCACCAATTCCAAGGACCAAAGCAACCTTCTTGCGTAGTGGCAAGTCTGGACGTTGCGTCTGGCACTGTCGAGTATATTGAAATAATCATTCGTTTTTCGTTACTGGTTAAAGAACTTCGCTCTCTATCTAGGTCTTCAATGGGAAAGATAAACGATCAAGTTTGTTACGAATATTTGAAGTTCGACATTTTATTTGATTGGTATGCTCACATGATTCAGGTGACGAATTTCGTGTATCAACTTTTTTCATATCTTCAAATTCTCTTCCATGAGAGAACATGTACGCACACCAAATTGAGACCATATAAACTCGATCTTCTTAACAACAAAAAAAAAACGAGCCTTTTTTTTTTTTTCATTTTCATTGACGTTATCATCAGTTTATGTATATAAAACTTTTTTGTACGAACATTTTTCCCACTGTTTTAAGGCCATAACTTATGCCCTTATTGCGACGAATGATCGGCGAGACCGTCCGCCGTGTAACATGTCGGATAATATATTCCGCTTCGGTATAGAAACTCTTTAAGTATTAACACACACACTATAGCGACAAGGCTCCACCCAAATTGTCCTTGTTACAAGGCATACTTTTTATATAATGAGTGTTGGCCCTCGGCCATCACTACAGAATGCGTCAACTCCCTCTAGGTAATTGAGTGGGCACAGAATGCAAACCTCCATATATTATGTACATAACAGTTTGCTACAACTCATAAGCAAGTCCTCACGATAACGAACCCTTAACACTAAATAAAACACGATTTATCGACCACATAACCTACCTCCACGAACAAGAGCAAACAACTATACAGGAAGTCGTCGAAAGCGAGGACCATATCATATCAAGCGACATCCATCAACAGGTCGATGTCATATAATCACCAAACAAGAATATAGTAAAAAACTGAGAAGCCAAGGAAATCTTGTCTATATAAGGTGGAGGGGCGGAAACACTTGTCAAACGAGCGATGGAAAAGAATGGAACCCTTTTATACGAAACATCAGATGTGATTATTACTATTGCTATGCCTGCCTGTACTCTTCCGACACAATATACGACTATACTGCGGCCACACCCTCAGAAACGTCTCATCTATCGGGAGATACAGTTACTATTGAGATGTGAGATGCAAAGGATATCTGGTCGAAAATTCATCGAAGAGTCGATTTTATCGACAGAAGACGATTCTGCTCGCTAATAAGAAATATGTTGTGAGTTAAGCGTAAGGCTTCTTTATTTACTAGACATTGATTATATCATTGAAATGTCGGTGCACTTATTATTACAGTTCTTTTCAAAATGATGTCATATAGACATTTCTATGAACACTGGGTATATGCTTTAAAGCGATTCTCCCATGTATTGTACTCTTTCCGACAACCTCCCTCTTTATTATTATCCGTATATCCTTTCTCATTACCAAATACGGAATCAGAGACGTGTCGAAAGTGTGGAAAGATTGGCTTCCACATACTCCAAGATCGTTAATTTAGTGTCATAGTAATAGTACATCTTAATAAAAAAAATTCTAGTCGGCAAGAATATATATGTTTATGTACATCAAAACACGAATCCCATAAAACAAACAATTTCGAAGCGAAAGACGAATAAAGAATTTTTGTGACGGACTTAGCCGTACTTGCTATCGGGCTTCATGTCATTTTCGATTCACGCGTAAATGCGTAGAATGCCCCCAGATGCCCGATTAAACGCTCATTGATCAAAGCAAATCCGTTAGATATTGTAACCAGAGATGTATGATTAACGTCTGAAACGGCGAATTATTAATAAGTAGTAAACAAATTTCTACTTACCAAATATAGTAGTAAACACTTAGACAAATATCTTCCATTTCCAAGCAATTATATGTCCGCAACAATAAAAGAGCGATATTCACAGTATCCTCCAACGTGAGCACGCGTCACTGGCATAGAAGTATCATTATAATATTGAACACTAGCGATACATTTGTGTTGCGTTAGTGTTTTTAGGTCATCAAGACTTGCTTCTCAGACTAGCGGCTTTGTAGATTTTATCTCAACCCGAAATATGAGCTGCTTCAATGATAAATCGTATTGTTGCTTTCCGTGAATTGGAAG